GCTGCTATAAGGTCTCCCCAGAGCCTTCTCTTCTCCAGGCTGAACAACCCTAACTCTCTCAGCCTGTCTTCATAGCAGTGGCCCTCCTCTGGATCTGTTCTAAAAGGTCCACATCTTTCTTGTGCTGAGGGCTCCAGAGCTGGACGCAGTACTCTAGGTGGGGTCTCACGAGAGTGGAGCAGAAGGGCAGAATCACCTCCCTCAACCTGCTGGTCATGCTTCTTTTGATGCAGCCCAGGACACAGCTGGCTTTCTGGGCTTCAGGTGCACATTGCTGGGTCATGCTGAGTTTCTCATCAGCCAACACGCCCAAGCCCTTCTCCTCAGAGCTGCTCTCAATCCATTCTCCGCCCAGCCTGTATTTGTGGTCGGGATTGCCCCAGCCCATGTGCAGGACCTGGTACTCAGCCTTGTTCAACTTCATGAAGCTCGCATGGGCCCACCTCTCCAGCCTGTCAAGGTCCCTCTGGATGGTATCCCTTCCCTCCAGTGTATCGCCCACACCACACAGCTTGATGTCACTGGCAAACTTGCTGAGGGTGCACTCAATCCCACTGTCCATGTCACCGACAAAGATATTAAACAGTTCTGGTCCCAATACCAACTCATCACTGGTCTCCACTTGGACATTGAGCTGTTGACTGTAACTCTTTGAGTGCAACCATCCAGCCAATTCCTTATCCACCAAGTGGTCTATCCGTCAAATCCATGTCTCTCCAATTTAGAGACAAGAATGTCATGCAGGACAGAGTCAAATGCTTTGCACCTGCAAAAGCATCCTTTGCAGGGATGCCCTTCTCATCCCTGGCCAGATTTAATTCTATCAGGGCTTTAGCTTTCTTAACATGATCCCTGGCTGCTCAGACAACTTCTCTATATTCCTCCCAGGCTAGCTGTCCTTGCTTCCACCCTCTGTAGGCTTCCTTTTTGTGTTTGAGTTTGCCCAGGAGCTCCTTGTTCATCCATGCAGGCCTCCTGGCATTTATGCCTGACTTCCTCTCTGTTGAGATGCATCGCTCCTGAGCTTGGAGGAGGTGATCCTTGAATATTAACCAGCTTTCTTGGGCCCCTCTTCCTTCCAGGGCTTTGTCCCATGGTACTCTACCAAGCAGACCGCTGAAGAGGCCAAAGTCTGCTCTCCTGAAGTCCAGGGTAGTGAGCTTGTTAGGTGCCCTCCTCAGTGCCCTAAGGATCTTGAACTCCACCATTTCATGGTCACTGCAGCCAACACTGCCCTTGAGCTTCACATTCCCCACCAGCCTGTCCTTGTTGGTGAGAACGTTGGTCCAGCATAGCACCTCTCCTCGTTGGCTCCTCGATCACTTGGAGAAGGAAGTTATCATCAGCGCATTCCGGGAACCTCCCAGATTGCTTACGCCCTGGTGTGTTGTCCCTCAAACAGATATCAGGGTGGCTGAAGTCTGCCATGACGACCAGGGCTTGTGAACATGAGGCTGCTCCTATCTGTCAATAGAGGGCCTCATCTGCTCAGTCTTCCTGGTTGGGTGGCCCATAGCAGACCCCCACTATAATGTCACCTGTCCCTGCCCTCCCTTTAATCCTGACCCTTAAGCTCTCAGTTGACTCCTCATCCATCCCCAGGTGGAGCTCCATGCATTCCAGCTGGTCATTGACACAGAGGGTGACACCCCCTCCTCGTCTCCCCTGCCTATCCTTCCTAAAGAGCCTGTATCCTTCCATTCCAACATTCCAGTCATAGAAGCCATCCCACCACATCTCTGTGATGCCAATAAGATCATAGCCCTGCAGGCGTGTAAACGTCTCTAACTCCTCTTGTTTATTCCCCAGGCTACGTGCATTTGCATAGAGGCATGTAATTTGGGCCCCTGATGAAGCTGACTTACTGGCTGAAGTGGCTGAAATTCCTTTGTGCTGCTCTTCAGGTGCTCTCCTGCTGACCTGTGATCCTTCTCCAGGCTCTGAGCATCTATTGCTGGCAGTGGTATCAAACTGGTAGGAGTGGGACAGATTGAGGTTTCCCTCCCCCGGCAACTTTAGTTTAAAGCCCTCTCCACCAGCTTGGCAAGCCTATGACTGAAGATGCTCTTCCCCTTCTCTGACAGAGGGACCCCATCAGCCCAACGCTCAGGCTGAGCCAGCCTACAGCCAGCCCCAACAGCTACACAAGAGAGCAGAGTCCCAGTAATTACCTGCAGTCTGTCCACAGGATTAAGGAGCACGATTTAAAAAGTATTTTAGATGCTTAAAGATGGAAACGGGTCATTTCGGATCTAGAGAACTGTTTAAGCAAATCTAGGGTTCTGCAGTCATTAATACCATACCCATGCGCTAGTGAATCATGTTAATTTGATTCAAGTCAGCCTTGGACAATTTTATTTCTACTGACCAAGCCAGGAGACATGATCTGAAGTTTATACTGGAGCACAGAAAATATCTGGTCCTTCTTAGCACCGTAATGACAGAGAATGCAGCAGTATCAACTGATCTACTTCCATGCCTCCATTGCAAAGAGTGTTCTTGCTCACCCTGCTTCCAGCTACTGCTATCCAAGTCTTCCCATGTGCCAGCACATGCAGTGTACCAATCCCCAAGGAAGGAGCTGTTCTACAATACGTTTTTCAGGGACTTCGGCTCCCTAACCCAGCTGACACACAACTGCTCCAGTTCTGGTGTCAGCACACAGGAGGAGAACATGCAGACAGGGGGAACTGACCCCTTTTGACAGCAACATGGCATTAGATAAGCTCCAGCTAACTGACACCCACCTCCAGACTGATGATAGCTGATCTGGTATAAAGTCTACCTTCAAAAAGGGTCAGTTCTTTGTGATTGCTGCTTTTTTGATCTTTTGAATTCCAAAGCTGGATGTCTATAATGTCCAAACCACAGCCTTTGACTTTAAATATACTGAGAGGTTACAGAGATTCAACTACATGCCTTGGTCTATGCTTATCTGCCTACATAACTGTGAAAAACAAATTCTCACCAAGGAATTAGGCTAAAAACATCTAAGAGAACTACAGCTGAGTGTTGTTTTGTTTGGTTTTTTTCTTCCGTGTCTGTGGGCTGTTTGTTTGCGGTTGTTTTCCTTCTCTTGCTTTTCAGACCTGAAAGGCTGAGAAAGGAAGAAGCGGAGAGTGGTGTCGTGCTAATCTGGAATGTAATATCTTTGGGTCTAGTCCTTGCTCTGCCACAGGTTTCCTGTGCAACAGTGAGAAAGTTAAATACAAACAGATCTCCCAGAGCAGAAAGCAAAGTTCTCCCTTGAAATCTGAAAGTCTAGATATACTGAAATGTGTTACTTCAAGGAACAGCATGCTCCTGGGCTGTAGATTAACTGTCAGCTGCACTGCTTCTTAGTTTTCAGAAGTCTAAAAACAGCTGTGTTTGTTCAGGCCCAGATACGTAAGTGTGACACCACCACCGTTCTTCTACAAACCCTGCCAGCTCCCCACTCACAACCACAGCAGACAGGGAACACCGCTGCTCCTAGCTTGACTCTTGCCCACCCAGAGAAACATTGGGGAAGTCGCCTGACATCACTACTTCCCCTCAAAGAGGGGCTCAGCAGCATGCACATTTGGCAATAACTGGGGTACATTAGTGGCTGGAAGACAATTCACTGACCATCAGTGAGTGACAGCGTCTGCACACAACACTGGAGAAGCATATGTTAGGTGGGACCAGCCCCTGGCACAGGCCTCGTGCTGCCTGGCATCTGGGGTCCAGTGCATGCGCAGGGGTTTAGTAGAATGCAGGTGGCCTTAGCTGCGTGATTGCATGCCACACACAGCACGCCGTGGGACTGCTTGCCTTGGAGTAAAGGTTGGTCTTCAGCACTCCCCCCCTGCCATAGCCCAGGGGCGGGCCCCCCAGGCAAGCCTTGCCTGCTGCCTTCCCCTTGCGGTTAGCCACCACAAAGGGGTTCTCACTGAAGAGGATCGGCTGAGAGTCGATCATACACTCTTGCTCTGGCGTCTTTGGCATCTGGTCCTGGGACAAGGGGCAACCTGTGGGATCCTGGTTGTCTAGCTGGGGCTTTTCTGCCCCGCTCGTGCACTTGCCAGGTGATGCAGGGTCCTGAGGAAGGCCAGCCACACTTCCGATGACCGGGCCTGCAGCTGTTTCTGGGTATGAATCTCGGCTGTCCTGTGCCACTGGCAGAGACAGCATAGCGCAGTCGCCCTCCATTCTGGAGCTGGCCTTATTATACTGAACAAGCTGAGAGGAAAACAAAAGGATCAGAAAGAAATAAGGAGAACAGAGTAAAGGAGAGGAGAGGAGAGGAGGGAGAAAATACAGAGCAGCTGTTGATGCTGAAGGACAGGGGAAAGAAGAATTCCAGTACTAATGCCCACATGATCATCCCTTCCCTCTCTTCTACTCTACCACCAATCTTGTGATCCCAAATGCTACTTCCAAGAGAGGACCTTGCTGTCAGCATGCAATACCTACACCAAGTAGTTGACAGGCACAAACACACCCCCTCCACTTTTCCAGCTCTCATACACATTCCAGCCGGCACTTCAGCAGCTCACCAGTAACACTGCTGCTCTCTAGCAAAATGGACTGCCAAAACCCACACAAGCACACATCCTCTTCCATCTCACTGCAGCACATCCTCAATTCAACTCCACCACCACATGGCCAAGCATCAACTGTCTCACCCCAGCATACTTTCAAGTAGTTCCAGCACTGTCACGCAGAATAACACCTCTCACTTTGCTCCAATGCATTTCCATACAGTTACACAGTTATCACCATATCATCTACCCCACACATTTCCATCACACCTGCATGGGCAAACGTGCTTTTATGGCCCCACTTCATCAAAATACACACCAACAAGTAACAGAGAGCTAAATAACAGCTAACAGAGCACAGATCCCTTTGAGCGCTCTTACTGAAGGCAGGACTGAAACAGAGCTCCAGTTCTGCCTAGGCTCAACTGTACCCATCCAAGATGAAGCACTGACCTTTCCTCTTTAAAATAATACTGTTAAAAAAAAAAAAAAAAAAAAAAGTTTTTTACCCCAGCCAAAGCCTTCTTCAGGGAAGCAGAGATAATCAGAGAGCAATGGTCAAATCTCCTTCTATCCAAGTGCCTGCTGGGGCGCAGAAAGACCTCTTCTGATCAGATCACATTCTCCAACTCCTGTGTCACAGCAGCATTCACAAAAATAGCTCTCAAGAGCTGGGTGGGCTGGTGACTACAATGGCAGCTGAGAGGCTCAGGAATGTTTGAGGCCCTCCCCTAACCCCTCAACCCCAACCCAACCTAAAGCAGTGGTTGGCAGAGCCCTGGCTCATATCATATTTCTTCAGACAGTGAAGCCTGTACTACCCTTAGAAATTTTGCTATTGTAGCTACATGACTTTCCAATGTAAAAAAACCCTACCAAAAAAACCTAAACAAAACCAACCCAAATTCCAACCTCCTTTTCCCAGAGTGCCATAAACTACACTAGCAAGAGCTCTAGTGCACATAAAATTATGCTTGGCAAGAAGTACTTTCAGGAACATTATTTGTTCATTGGGGATGCTGTAATGAAAACACTGCCAGCAATCCACCACTGCAAAGTGGGTTTGTTGGTCCTACAGCCAGGCCCCTCCAATACCACTGCCACTTTCTCTTGCCAAGCAGAAGAGCACCAACATTGACCAACCCGGCTTCCAGGTGAATCCCACCACCACTGCATACTTTGCTTCACACAAAGGGAAAAAGTAAACAACACTTTTAGGGCACTGTGGAGATGGGCATCTCAGCAAGACTGCATGAAGTCTGACAGTCGATGGGGAGCCTCAATCCCTGTTTTGTTCATGGACATGACTGGAACTGAGCTTCATCTACCCCTCGCTTTAATCTCCAGCGTGTCTGCTGCAGCAGTGTATTCCAGTGCAGGATGCCTTGCTCCCTCTACTTCACAGGGGGCTATTTTTATCAGACAAGCAACAATTTCTATTTTGGGTAAGCAAAGATTTTGGTAATGCAGTGTGCTTTTCCCAGCTTTGCCTAGCAGACAGGACAATCATGTTTTACCCTGCATCCTCCAAGGCAAATACAAAAGAAATGCATTTGCAGTTGTGATCCATCACTTTGCCCCAGACACTGAAACAAATCTAATTTTAAATCTAATGAACAAGTACAGAGAAAGAATCAATGGCTAGAAATTGAAGAGAAATAGATTCAGACTGTTAATTAACTAACCATGGTGACATGCTACTGACAGATGTAAAGTCGTCTCCATTTCTTGTAGTCCAGAAACCAAAACTAGATTTTTAGATGTTTTGCTGTGGCTAGATGCAGTCATTCATGGGTATGGTTTTCAAGCCTATACTATGCAGAAGACAGAGACTATAATGGCTCTTTTATTACTGTGATGGCAGTATCCAGCCATTGTAGCGCACTGGGTACTCTGCAGACATCAAGTTACATCAAGCTGGAGGGCATCACTGAGATGAGCATTCTCATGTGGCTTTCAACTGGAATTTTTCAGTTGGAGTTTTAAAAGTATACAGACAAAATAGGCTTGCATCTCAGTAAGCCTTTGTTAAATCTTGCTCAGAAAAGGACCAACACACAGCAATACAGATTAATCCAAGATAGACAACCATCTGCCCCCTTCTTTAGGGGCAATTCTTGGGGAATCCTCATGACAAATCCCACCTGCAATCTACAGCAGTCATAACAGAGGTCTGCACCTCCTCCTGTTCAACAGTGTGAAGGACAGCAGGCCCTGCAACTCCCTTACAGGGAATTATAGGGCAACAAAAGATATGTAGATGCTGTTTAGAGGACAATGTATGTGGTGAGAAAGCTGGCCTAGAGACAGGAAGAAAGAGAAAAATACTATAGGAACTGGGCAATAGCATTAGTCATCTTAATCCAGTCAGACTGCCTGGAGATAAGACAATCTGTTAATTGAACTGCATACTTTTCTGCTGGCTGTGTCCGAGTCCTCCAGGCAGTCACCAAACAGGCTAGGCACAGCTCCTGAAGGAATGCCAGAACCTTGCTGTCCTTGAAGCCCGTATCTCCCTGTACTCACCATCTAGGCAGACATATTTTTTCAAACAGAGCAAAGACAGGGTTGGGGAAATGACAGCTGGAAAAAGATAAACATGGGCACCACTTGGCCCTTCCCCTGATATGGGACATTTATAGATGCCGCCCATACACCCCGGCATTCCAGCATGTTCAGCCCCACATTCCAGTGCCAGGCGTTCCTGGGCTGACATGGACTGCTAAGGCACAAGTTCCCAAATGCCGCTCTGCTCTGGACGACACTAGGGCTGTGGAGCAAAGAGGCAGCTGCGTGGGGCTGGCTCTCCCCTTGTTTCCAGCTACTAAGTTACACTAAGAGATGCTAAAAATACATTAAATCTTTTCCTGATAATTCTTTTCTGTGTGAACAGCCAGGAGAGAAAACCCAAAAGCTAGGGAGTATGGGGAAGAACAAAATGAGACAAAGCTGGAGATAAAGCAGGGCTCTAATCAATGTGAAAGCAGAAAAGCAAGAGGGCCTGAAGTCAACGAGAAGATAGATGAATAGGAGAGGAGACCTGCTAGATGGAATGAGATGGAGACAGTTAAGGTAAAAGAGATGATCCTGAAACAACGGAATGGGAATGCAGAATCTGATGATGAAAGCAAAGGGTGGTCTTGCTGCAATAGGAGGGAAGGAATGGAGGTGAAGACTGAGGATGTACCTGAAGGAGCAGGCAGAAACCCAGTGGAACAGGTATGACGCGGGGAAGATAAAACATGACCAAAGGAAGCAAAGATGGAGAAGTGAGGTGAGATTTTAAACAACACAGGAGAGACAGATGACTTCGTAATCTGTGAAGTTTGTGAAATCTGGATTTTCTCTTGGCTGAGGTGCCACTACATATCAGGGACTGAAACAATGACTGAAAGGTCACAGGGGCAGGAGTATTCAAGGCTGTATCAGGGCTAAGTCATGATAAGCAATCACTGCCACTTTGCCTTCTGCAGTCCTAGATGGATCTTGACTTTCTTTTAATACTTTTGGTATCAGCACCCTGCATTCCTCCTCCTTTCTAAACACCATCCCACAATGAATTTCCAACTAAGCTGTGCACACAACATTGTGATCTTCTGTGTCAGGAAGAATCTTCCCCCCCCTCCTCTGCAGCTTTCAGTAGTTGCTTCCTTCCATGATAAATCCCCCGCACTCTCCCATTCACATATATCCTTCTCTCCTGCTGGGCTGTTCTTTCCGCCTTGTTCGAGACACTTCCTTTTGCCTCTTGCAATTACACAGGCCACTTCCCTTTCCAAAATGGAAAGCAACCTGGCTCTCTGCTCTCCTCATTTTCTTATTCTAATCTTTCTTTTGTCACTACCTCCTGTTTCAGACATTGTCAAAGTCTACCACAGTTCTGCTTCCCAGTTTTCCTCTGAAGAGAGTACTGTCTTCTCTCACACCAGCGCTTGTACAAGGAGAGGGCAGGTAAGAGAACGACCACAGCTTCCCCCACGCAGGGACCCACATCTCAACAGCCCCTCACTTACAGTGCGATTGACTCTCTGTAAGCCACTGCTGGGCAAAGCAGCCAGGGTCCGATAGTCCAGTCTCAAAGGCTCACTGGTGATATTCTGGAGAGGGGCAAGGGGAGGAGCAAAAAAACACAAACACCAGGAAGAGATCAGGCCAGAAGTCAACTACATCAACTAGAAAGAGCAATTAAAAGGAAACCACCTCTAGTAATAACCAAGGCCTTATCTCCAAACTCTGCAGAAAGATCCCATTGCCTGGAATTGTTCCAAACACAACCATAGGAACCCATGACAGAGGCTGGGCTTGAAAAATACTGCAGAGAACATGTCGCCCTGGGCCCTTGGTCACCCACTGGTGCATGGATCCCCACCATTCCTCCTGCCCCCATGTGCACATGTCCACGCCCTTATAGGGGGAGAGGAGAACATGACATACATACCAGTTTTCTCCAAATAGCATCCAGAAAGGCTTCCAGTCTGGATTTGGAGGCATTTGAGAGTTCAAATCTACAATTCCTCTACAGTATCTTCTCTCAACCTTAACTCACACTCATTGTATAATTTCGTTTGATTTTGCTTCCCATTTGCAGTTGTCTGCTTTTCTAATTCTAGCCATTGTTTTTCACCATTCCTTCCTCCATCACATGACAGACTTCTTCATTTCTGATATCTTCTCTTATACCCAAATGTCAAGTCTTGGGGGGGTAGGGGGGGCGGCAGGTAAGGGAGTGGAGAACATAAATTACACGGAACAAGCACTTTTAGAGATTTCTCTGGCCTTCAAGTCCAGTTGCAGCCCTTTTCTGCAACTCTCCAACCCTCCCACCGTGCTCCTCACCTCTGCCTCCTCCTCAAGTTGCTGTGTGGCTGCCTCCCGCTCCCTACGCATCCACTCCTTCCATGAGACAGGACAGAGTCAGAGCAGCATCCAAGCAGCACAGGCAAAGAGAG